TCTTTCTTTCTTTCTTTCTTTCTTTCTTTCTTTCTTTCTTTCTTTCTTTCTTCCCCCCCCCCACGTACATAAACTATATGTATGTATCTGTATAGTACATGGAGAGGTATGTGTATGTAAGCAATCTCCCCATTTTTTTTTTTTGTAACAGCTGTTGAATTTCATCTGAGAGGAGGATTGCAGGGCTCAGTAAAATCCCTTGTGATTTCTTTGACTCCATAATTAAAACCTTGAAACTTCAAGTCTGCCTACATATCCAGAAATAAAACCTCCCATAATTAATTATGCTCATATAATACGATGGTCTTGTGGGGTGGTTGGGGGCTGTTCATCCCATCTTCAGGATTCCAAGAAAGAACTAATGGACAGATTGCAATATATAAGATATTATTACAGGCATGTCTCACCTTCAGAATAGATATTTGTCAGATGTTTGCTTCTTTTTTAGCATGAATCAGTTTCAGATACAGAGGCACAATGAGAATGAATGAGAATGAAAAACAGAAAACAGAAAGTCTTAATTTGTAAGAAATCCTGCTTCAAAAAAATGGTACTGTTTTGCAAATGTCAACATTAAAAAAATATTTTCCAGAATGTCAGAATAGTCTGTTTTACACTTGCAGATGTTTTTGATTTGACATTCTGATATGTAGCTATTCAGCCCCTCAAGGCAAATTGTTTTTTAAATATCCCAACAACTCAGATCATATATCTCATCCTGAAGTATTCATTCATGTTCCAAATGTCAGTTTAATGGCATTTATTTTTACAGTTCTTAGCAGAATTTTAAAGAAGCTGGTATCGCAGAAAGAACATATGTGTTAATTTGTAGGCAAAATGTAACACAGTGCAATATAATTGAAAAGAAACACAGTAAAAGATGAAAAATGTGTTTTCTAGACTATAGTTTCCAGATGCAATATGAAAAGCATACAGCTTAATATAGTAATTGCAGTCTGATAAATGTGGTGTATAATGTGGGCTGTCTTTAAAACAGTTCTGTAATAAAAGTGCTAGTTACTTTCCCCGGATTGGCCGAACTCGTGTTAGCTGCGCTAGCCTTTAGGCCTTTTCCGTGTTCGGTTCAGAGTTGGCAGCCGCTTTATCGATCATCTAGGAAAGACTAAGTGCTTTTGGAGGGGCATGCATGCTTTGCCACATTTTAAACCAGAAATAGCTTGTTTTCCCCATGCAAATTGCTGGTTTGCGTTCCCAAGAACTAAAACAGAAGGCAGAGAGCTAACACGTACCTAGCCTTAGGAAAGGTCCCCTTGCTGCAGCTAAATATTTCTGAAATAAAAACTGTACAACTAAGGCTGGATCATGCTGTTTGCTTCTTTATATTATAGAGAAATTGGGAGGATAAGATGAGAGCATTGCGTATAACAGTTGAATTCATTAATGGAAGAATGATATACAAATTAACTGTATAGCTAATCAAAGGCACAGAGGTTTAATGTTTCAGAGAAGACGGGATGACATTGGAGGCACATCGTCCCATCGCTTTCCACCCACAGACCTCCTTTGCCTTATACTGGAAGTTTAGAAGAAATCTACATTATTCTGCTGGTGAAATATTCTGATTTAATGTACGATACAGTTATGATATTACTAAAGCAAAACTATTAACTCGTTTTTTAAAAAAAAATAACATGAGTAGCCATTAAGCCTTTGCAGTAGTAAAATAAAAAGTGTCAGGTTAATTGTGCTCAGCTAGACAGCTACTGTTAGCCATATTTGACTGATTTTGAAAAACTCAGAAGAATCAGGCCTGGTTAATACTTGGATGAGAGATCACCAGACAATACTAGTGATCTAAGTGGGACTGGATAGTTTAAAAAAAAAAAATCCATAGAAAAGGGAATGCACTTCCATATCCTTGCAAAGAAAACTTCATGGACATTTAGCTTAGTTGTATATATTAAGTAAAAAAAAAATTTCTTTTAAATTATATCTCCTTTTCCGTTGCTTTCCATACATTGTGAAAAGCTTGATAACTCTCTTAATTTTAGAATGTCAGAATTTGTGTTTCCTTTGGGGATGCAAGCAAGCAGGAGGGCATCTGTGACACAAAGGGTAATGGTTTCTTATAATATTGTTATTATTGTGAATCACGCTTCAATACCTGAATTATAGAAAAAGGCAAATCCTGATTATAAATACTTGAGCATTTTGAATTCAGCCGTACCCATAGATACTTTAATATATCTATAGGATCACCTACTGACAGTTGTGCTAGCACAGCCGATGAAAGCCTATCAAAAGAATTGTAGAAGGAAAATCCATTAGCTTTTCTGGGGCACAGAAGTGTGTTTTGTAGATAGGCAAATGACGTTAAGGGACGACGCTGCCTATTTTTTAAAATGATTCATTTAATTTGCCCTGAACGTTTCTTTCTTTTTGCCATTTGCAGGAACAAGCATATTCACTGTTTATGAAGCTGCTTCTCAAGAAGGCTGGGTCTTCCTGATGTACCGAGCAATTGACAGCTTTCCCCGATGGCGCTCGTATTTCTATTTCATCACCTTAATTTTCTTCCTTGCCTGGCTTGTTAAGGTACGTAAACAGAAACCTTATCAGGAAATGATAATAAGAGGGAACAGAAGAGAGGTATAGATTAGAAAACTAGCTGAAGATGTTCTGGCATGCATGCAGGTGTATGCGTGTATTGGGAGAACTATTATCCTGAAAATTAATGGAGGGAGAGCAAGGGTTAATTATATACATTATTTTGAGACAACTATTATCCTGAAAGCTAGGAGATAGATATTGTTAATTAATGAATTCCGCAGTTTAGATTTATATTCTGCTTTCAAGACAAGTCATCTCAAAAAAGTTTATTGGTAATGTTAGCAGTTGTACTACCTGTGCTTGGCCATCACTGGAAGAATGCAAACCTTCCAGGAAAGAAATGGGTTAAAATATTTTCCTGGAATTTTCCCAGGTCTTAACTGGGAAGTCAAATTGTTTACCTCAGTTGCTATCACTGGTGGCCAATTTGGCAAACTTTCTACATCCAGCTCAAGGCTTTCAGAAGACATTTCTACACCCTTCAGAATTTCAGTAAAATAGGTTTCACTGGTCTGGTGGAATACAGATATCCACTTGGCATATGGCCATATAGTAGAAGGACTGCAATTGAGTTCTCTATCCTGGCTGCCTAGATAAGGCATGCCATAGCATCTTTTCTCCTATGCTGAAGTAATTGTTCAAACTGCCTTTTTAATTTGAGACTGTCCCACGCAGTCATTTTTCTTGCATTCGCTTTATAAGCTTTGTAACTAGCTTTTTTTAAAAAAAACTTTGGCACATTCAGAGTCAAACCACCATTTGGAATGATGCCAGTGTAAGTGTGAGTTGCCAGTTTTTGCGTAAGTTAAGTACTCTATAATTCCTGAATGATCTGATTATAAATCTCTGTGAAAGAGGGAGAGGGCTCTTCCAAGAGACCAGAAAAATGTCGACATTGGGAATGTTCTGTGGCAAGGTATTGTTTTATCCATATGGTAAAGTCTTTCCATAGGGACAATTTGGAATTCATAGGAGACCTTTGTATGAAGGTGATGATCAGATTATTTTAAATGTACAAAGACTGAGAAACAACCTCTAATGAATGGAGAAGTTTTTAGAAGCAATTATATAAGCTATTTCCCTTATTTTGGCCCCTACCCAATAGGTCAGTTCCTCAGAGTAATCATTTTCATGACATCTATTCATAATACAGAAGAATACCTATTAACCCTACAGGTTAAACAAAAAAACCTGTAAATGTAATTCCACTTCACACTTCCAAAAATCATGTGAAGAGAAGTACATCTGCTTCAGAATTAGGCACACAACACTGATTACATGTGTAAAGTTGCTATCATCCAGATTAATCTTGCATTAAAGTTTCTACCTCTAACCATATATGCATTAGTACAGGAAGAAATAGTTAATTCTTTTCAGTTCAACCCACAATTTCTTAATGTGTTAATTTCTACCTCAGTGGAAATAGGTAGATATTAATTATTAGGGAAAACACAGTGTCTGAAATGGATTGCCACAGCCACTGTGTATTATTTAAATGAGGTTTGTTTGTTTGTTTGTTTGTTTATTTATTTTATCAAATTTGTGACTGCCCATCTTGTTGAATGACTCTGGGTGGTTTACAAAACAGTTAAAATCAATTCAAGTTACAAAATTACGATCTACTATTAATAAATAGAAAATAAATAGATCCAAGAATCACTGGCAGTCACTCAGGGAGCGTCATCAAGGCGCTAGCCACCCCTAGGATTGGGTAAGGTTGTGATCACCCCACGCAAGCTGGCAGAGCCAGGTCTTTAAGTCTTTCTGGAAGGCTGGTAGGGTAAGGGCCTGCCGCACCTCTGTGGGGAGAATGTTCCAAAGGGTGGGGGCAACAGCAGAGAAGGCTCTCCTCCTGGGCCCCACCAGTCGACATTCTCTCGCTGACGGGATCCGCAGCATGCCCTCTCTGCCTGACTGGGTGGGGCAGGTTGATGTGACGGGGGTGAGACGGTCCCTCAGGTAACCTGAACTCATGCCACGTAGGGCTTTATAGCTGATAACCAACACTTTGAATTGGACCCAGAAGCAGACTGGGACCCAACACAGCCCGCATAGTAAAGGTGCTATATGTGCTGTTTTGGGGCACTCAAAATTGTCCGCACGGCCACATTTTGGACCAGCTGTAGCTTCCAGATACTCTTCAAAGGTAGCCCCACGTAGACTGCATTGCAATAGTCTAGCCGAGAGATGACCAGGGCATGAGTGACTGACTGGAGGGCCTCCTGATCCAGGAAAGGGCATAACTGGCATACCACACGGAGGTGGGCAAAGGCTCTCCTGGGCACGACTGCCACCTGCTCCTCTGGCAGGAGTTGTGAGTCCAGGAGGACCCCAGATTAGACACTGGGTCTGTCCAGGGCACTGCTATCCAGAGGGGCCTCCTATCCATAGCCACTCCGCCTTACCAAGGTTCAGCTGAAGCCTGTTGCACCCCATCCAGACCCCCACAGCCTCTAGACATTTTATAATTTTAATCTTATAATTTTAGCATGCAAAGTTCTAGAAACCAGCAGATGTAAACCATCTTTGTGTCTTCTCTTTCCAATTCCATTTTCTGCTCCAATTGTTTACTTGTTGAGGCTATTCCTTTAAATTTTCCAGGTTTCCTGCACTAATACAACAACATCATATTTTTACATTACTGTAAGTCCATGAAAGAAATACCCCGATAATTAGAATACAAGCTTACTACATTTCAGGTTACAAAGGAGTTTATGTTGTTCTTTTTGACTTCAAATAGTAATGTTACAGTTTTTCTGAACTGATGACAGAATAGGGATTTCCTGCACTGTAGGCTAAGTTATGGAATATTGGGTACATGAAGAAACCAAGTCAGAATGAAGACACTGTCAAATAATTTCTGGCGTTACTGACTCTAACATTATCCTAAGAACCCAGAGTCCATTTGCTGATTGCAGACACTCTATAGAGTGTCTGCAGCCACATGAAGCAACAACTGTTATTCTGTCGGTGAAGATGCTAATGTTGACATTTCAGCCCTTGCATCATTACCACTTTGCTGTTCATTGTCCCATATAGATTCACAGATTAACTTTGTCTTCTCTGTATGGTCAGTTTTGGTGTTCTGTGTATTACTATTGCTCCCACTCTCCTTGGATAGCGTTTGGGTTACTGAATGCCCATGAGAATAAGATGGGAGATTTTCCCTAGTGGATCTTCTATCACATTATCTTGGAGCTCAGATACTTGTTATAACTTTCTCAGTTCTTAATCTTTGCTATCAGTTTAATATAATTGAAGATGGACAGTTAGAAGTGTCAGTTGCTGGTACTGAAACATCAAATTAATCTGTGTTTTTTGCTCTGACACTTGTACCTGTCCAACTGGCCTCTCTTCAGGTTTTTTTTAAATCATATTGAACTATTAACTGGAGTTCTTGAACCAGCCCCACTCACATTCAGTCTCTGTATTCTTACATATCAAAGCTATCTTCATTATTTATTTTCCTTCTTTGCTAGTATGAACTTTCAAAATGATGCTTTTGTAGCTGCTATTAACATTGTTTTTAATATTTCTAGTCTTTGGAGAAACTTTTTCAACTTGGGAAAGAATTTCAGATGACTGAGTTAGGGGGCTCTTTGCACAATCTGTTTCTTCTGTGTCGATTTTTGCTTCTCTTTCCTTTAGCTCTTCCCACCCCTCCCTTCCCAATCATCCTTGGGAGGATTAACCTTATTAGCAATTGACCTTGAGAATGACAGTAGGCAGCATCTTATCTCAGACTGGGTTTGGTGTGTGAGTACTGAAGCATTTTCCCTCACTTAAGCCATAATTTTCTTCCTAAGCTTCAATAGGGGATGAATATGTTCCTCACTGAAAACCCAAAGAGGGACCATTTGAAATCTGTTCAGAAATTCGTTCATTCTGATAATCATCAATAGCAAAATGGAACATTAAAATCTGGTACAACTCTCTTATATTCACTGTGACTGAAAAGCCAGGGAATAACTTTCAAGTCACTATCATAAACCTGGCAGTGTAAAAGCTGGGTAAGAGGCCACATTATTATTCATCCATTGTACCATTTTGCCTTGTGAATCTCATTTTCAACTATCAACTAGGTTGTAGTGTGCAGAAGTTAACACTATATTCAGATAATTGTAAACCCATCTCAGAAAATGAAATGCTTGCTCTGAGGCAGAAAGTCACTTAGGGGCAGATTTTTTTTCCTCACTTTTTTATTGTAAGCTGCTCTGCCTTTTCATTCTCCTAAGAAATTGCATTGCCTCAGCCCAATTTATTATTATTATAGTAATAACGTTTTTAGTTCTTTTCATTCAAGTTTTCTTTTTGCTTCCCAGCCTTTAGCTTCTCTACAAAAATGGGTTCTTGAGAACATGTCAACTATTTCTCAAGGGGGAGTTTTAACTCATCCATTTTACTATTAGCAGTAATTAATTGGTCAGAAATTGCAATAGCCAAGAGTATTAACAGAGCTTTAGCCAAGTCAAACCACAGTTATTAAAAGCTAGACAAGGGCTATTATCCCTCTGTTTGTTTCCATCTTGTTTCTAGTTGTTCCCCATCTTCCAAGCAAGAAAGCTCTTCACTTTCCCAATTGAGGGCAACATATTTATTAGAAGATAAGAAAGTCTGCACCTCGCTCATTTGTACTTCATCCAGCAGCCTGTCCTTTCTTTTAGGTTTTCTAGAAGTTCTATTATTTTTCTAGAGTTCTGACCTCTTCCTGTGCCTCTTCTTGGATTTAGTTTTGCCCCTATGCTTAATTTTGTTTTCCTTTCTTGCGCTGTTGCTCTTCATATTCCCCATCTTCATTCCAGTGGAGAACACTTCATTTCTGATATTGTCGTAGTGAAAATAAGTAAGATATGTGTCTTGCTACCAAAAAGAGAAAAAAAGAAAGCCAACTAGCAGGTAGATAAAACAGTATGACCACACCAGTTGGTGGCCATCTTCCCTCTCCACAATAAATATTATTTAAAACCAACAGAGGTTCTCCCAGGCACCTTCCCATAGAGTAATGGCCCTATGGGGTAAGTAATAGCCCTGTGGGTATTGTGGGATGAGTCTAACTAAGTAGGCTTTGAAAATAGTTTTTGCCTGCCTTCCTACATATATGTACTTTCTTTTATAGAATGTATTTATTGCTGTCATCATTGAAACATTTGCTGAAATCCGTGTGCAGTTTCAACAGATGTGGGGGTCCAGAAGCAGTACAACTTCAACAGCAACTACCCAGGTAAACTTGGCGAAATGTTCATATATGTGAGATACATATATGCATAAATGGATGCATGTGGTAAACATTAGTTTTTGTTTGTCTAAAACTACTAACAGCACATATATAATTTGTTCGTTATAATTACAGTCATATATATGAATACTTTTTTTTCATTTAGTACTTTCACTGGCTTGAGGAAATCCTAGTTAAAGAAAAAGAGGGCTTGAACTGTGACTAGTGTATGAAAAAACAGCAATTTAGGCTTCATGATATCTTGGAACAGTGGTAGCCCAGGCTCTCTGTACGTGCTTTTTATGCAGTTTTATGGGTTCAGGAAGATCTGCGTTGAAGTGTGGATCTCAAGTGCTGCAAACATGTTCCAGTGAAGCTTCCTTGGTGCAACAGTCCAGAAATGGGTTGCCTTGCTGTATTTATAATCTGTGTGGGATTTAGGTTCTGTGGGTTTGGTTGATGATTGGATGCTTCTTGGAAAGTGATTAGACTCGGTGTTAGTTCTGTCCTGATTATCAGTATGTTATGAATGGTTTGGAACTTGTGCCTGATTGGGTGGTAAATCATGTCTAGTTCTATTGTTCTCTGGATGGCTCTTTTGAGTTCTAGGCTTCCAGGAATTATCTGGCTCTTCTGCTGTTTGCTTGGTCGATTATTCCTGTATTTTCCCACTCAAATGCGTGGTTCATTTTGAGAGTGTAGATGGTTGTAAGTTATTTCTGGTGTTGGTTTTTTGTTGCAGTCCTGTGTTCCTTGATCCTTTGCTGTAATTGGCATCCTGTTTGTTTGATGTAGTGTTCAGTGCAATCTTTCAACTGATTCTGTATATTATGCCCTTTCTTTCTTGGTGAGGTGTGCAATCTTTCGGTTTATACAGGTTTTTTTGGTAGTGTTTTTGTGGGTTTGCAGGCAACAGTGATACTTATTTATAGTAATTTTTGTACAATATCTTTCCTACTAGTTGACTTGCACATGGTTGTGTAGACTATAGTATTTTATTATAAGGATTCTGATTCAAACTTTATGTAATGTATCTGCCCTACAAATTCTTCTAATTAAGATTCAGTGTGCAATTTATCTTGTCATGGGTTGCAATCATACAAGTAAATTATATTCATAACTCATTGGATAACACTTAACATTTATATAGGTTTGTTTGTTTGTTTGTTTATTTATTTATTTATTTATTTGAATTATTTATACCCCACCTCTCAGGCTAACAAGCCTTTCAAAGTGGCTAACAAGCAATAACAACATTTGAGCCACCCAGAGTTGTGTTTTTAGATGGGTAGCCAAACAACTCTTTTAAATTAAATAAATAAATAAATATTTGTAAATAAAAATACCAGATTATTTCAAAACCAATAAACTTCTAGGATCCTTCCCATGGGGCAGTTGATAATAATAGCAGAAGGGGTCATGAAAAAAGGAGTTTGAGTCAGCCTTCCTCCTTCTCACTCTGGGGCTTTTCCAACAGAGCAGTTGGTGCTAATGGCCTATGCGGGGAAGGGAATTAGAGAAGGAAAGTGACATTTGTTAGTCATCTTGCCATAGTGCTCTCCCTGGAAAGAAGAATAAGTGAAGGAAACATGGCTTACCTAAGGCCATGACATAATTTCTTAATCACTCGATGTTTCACTGCATTACATTAATGCAATAAACACACATTTTTAGTATTTTGTAATATCTATGTACTGTTGCCAGACATATTTATGTGGGTTGCATACAGTTTTCTGCATGGAAGAATTTCTCATGCAGGACATTGAATTGGTTCCTGTTTGCAGATCCTGTGTTCAGCTCCAGCTATAAAATCTGTAACTACAAATCAGTTACCATTCAAGGACAAAGGCAGCTGAATTTTACAGTCTGAAATCAATGGATACTGCACTGCATTCTCTGTAATAGCAAGAGATTTCTTAGAAGAAAAGATTCATCAGAATGCAATATAGAGAAAAGGACAGACACAAAATAAACATCACCAGTTTTGTTTGTAGATCTGAGCATATAAATAGGTTCTGACAAGTGTATTCTCCCTCCAGATGTTTCATGAAGATGCTACAGGAGGATGGCAGCTGGTGGATGTTGATGTGAATAAGCCTCAGGGCAGAGCTCCAGCATGTCTGCAGGTACAATGTTGCTTTTTAAATAAAGCTATCAAAGTAGCAAACCAAGTGGGGATCTTGCTGTTTGAAGCTGACAGTAAATTAAAATTCCCCATAGCTACAATTTCGGTTTAGAAACTGCTCTAAGTTTAATGTGTATTTACCTGTTTTTTGTGTGCATTTTCTAGATTCTGTAAAATAATTCCCTTTCTCTGAATCTGCCAGTCTCCACACATCCATGAGATAGAGACCTCTGTCCAACCCTTTTTATAAGAGATGTATAGACGTAATTATGACTGGAATGTTAGAGGAAAATCAGTTTGTTAAAATGTAGTTGATCGTAGCATGTATGCCTTCTCCTGTTCCGAGAACAGTATGAAGGATATCAAAGATTTTAGTACCACTATGCAACGTATGAATAAGATGTCCATTTTAGAAGTATCTTACCACAGTGGAATATATGAAAGAAAAAAATATAAAGAAGAAAACAGAAGAAAATCATCAGGCATCTATGTCTGGGGACTAGAACTTGAGATATGTGTAATCATGTAGGTCCTTGGGCAAGCACTGTGAGTTTTTCTCTTCATCTGGAACATGTCATGTGCAATTCTCTTATACTACCTCAATTCTAATGTATTTCTTACAGCATGTGAATTGTGGAGACTTAGGTCTATTTAAAAGCGAATGGAAGCTTGAGTACTGGTCTAAATGAACAATAAGAATGTCCAAAAATTCAACATAAATTCAGCTGTGATCATGTCAAATTCATGGGTGTTCTATTAGAAAACACATTTTTGCATGTGCATTTAGTAGCTTCTTGTAGTTCCTCACCTATGCCAGTGGGCCCTTGGTATCATTGGTCTGATCTAGGATGGTAATAAAATATTTTGTTTTCATAGACGAAGCTGCTGCTCACTCCAGCAATAATCTTTGGACACAGATATCTGAGTTAGCTTCAGTTGGTCCATGTTAGTGCTATACCTACTCATTTATTATTCCATTAAATTATAAAATAAATGGTTTTATTTTTAAAATGTTCCTTTTCCCCTACTTTTTTATATTTAGATTTACAAAAATAAATTGTTTTTCTTCACAACTTGTATATCTAGCCCAACACCCTGTTTTCTATGAAACTACCTTCCTAATAGATCCTGTTTTCTATACTATATTCTCTGTTTTGTTGTTCAGTCACTTCCAACGTTTTATGACCCAATAAAGGATGTCTCGTGTAGTTTTACTTCTTCACTTGCCAATCCTGTCTGCCAGGAACTCCTTATTTGAATTCTTGCAATATTGTTTGCTTTCTTCTTTCTTAAGTTAGAGCTTAACAAGAAGTTCATGGTGTATGCCTCAGTCATTACCAGATTTTATTTTGTTGAGTAAATGGAGTTCCTCCAGCTTTTATTGCAAAATATATAGTCAGTTTTATACTGATACCCATTTGGTGATGTCCACGTGTATAGAGTTATCTTTTAGATTGTTGGAGAAAAGTATTTGCAACGTCTCCTAATATATGGTAAAAGCAGTTTATCACATTTTTTAGTGCAGCCAGTTCTATTATGTTTTTACATACCTTTCCCAAATGTGTGCTAACTTATACAGATTTGACAGATTATGGCATTCTCATGTAAAATAACTCCATGACCGATTTCTGTTGCACCTCTACTTCAGAGCAGTGTTCAGAATTAAAAGGATAGACCCAACTTGGGTTAAAATGGCAGATTCCCTTGAGGGATGCTGGGTTGGGAGCAGTATAAGGAATTCAGCCATGCAGTGATGCACATTACATCAGAACAGTGTTAAAATAAGTTCCAGATTATACACCCATTTGTACAATCAATGTCATATGCAGAATCTACACTTGGGATACATTGCAGTGAATGGCAGAAGGGAAGAGAAATTGCTGTTAATGTTTTCATTAGTCCTTCTCTGGCTCCAACGTTTTAGGTGACTTCAAAACATCTGCAGATTAGATGCCTCTGTAATGGCCTCAAATTGATATGAAGAGGCTGTAGAAAATTAGTATAGGCTAATCTTAAATCATGACTAATGCATGCCGAGAATTTTATATTTGCTTTTATATGGTTTCTTTAGCCAACTCTTATAAAAAACATCAATCCAAGGCATACATCATCTACATGAAGAGAACTTCATTTCTGAAAAGAAAGGTATGCCTTGCTTCACAAAAGGGGTAGGAAAAGATGCTTAATTGAACCATGGCACTTCAAAGCACAAACGCAGCAGAACTGCAGTAATCAAATTACCAGGTACATGTCTTCCAGGAAATAGCTTTGATAATGCTTGATTTTGTTCTGCATTGGATGTTCAAGCGAAATCAGTAGGGGGGAAACCCTGTCCAAATAATAAATGCAGTGTCTATTTGGCCTGAGAACTCCATAATAGAAAATGTAATAGAAAATGTAGCTGGAATGAGGAGCTTGTATCCATAACTATATCATTCACACATGGCATAGAATTTTCCTGGAAGAGCCCAAGCATTTCAACTTTGGCTTGGATCAGCGTGCTTAGTGCCTTGCTGGGGCAAAGAGGGGTGGCCTGTTGGCTCAGGCAGCAGTGCAGAAACACTCCTTTTCCATCTGAACAGGCCAGGAAAAGGTGAGAGGATTTACCCGTTCAGTTTTGAGCAACCAGAGCCAAGCTGTGGCCAGACCTGGCAGTGGTTGTCCAGCAGCATATTCCCGACTATACTCTAAGTCACCTGGGCCATAAGCCAGGCACTGACTCACCTGAGTCATGCTGGGATGATTCCCTGGCTTTCTTCACCCAAGTGAGACTCACCAGATGAGACTCTATATGGCTCACTTGGTGGTCTCTTTGACTTATTAGGCAGTACCTAAGTGAGTCCCTTTCTCAGTTGCAGTGAGATTCATACACCATCCCCTCCATAGTTCTCCAGTCTTAGCCCTATTTAGCATCATCACACCATCGTCTGGCTGCCAGAAAGTGAAATACCACTTTTCATATGACTGGGTTTATGTATATAGCCAGATGCTGGTAATACAAAAGGGAGCCAGTTTGGTGTAGGGGTTAAGGCATCAGGCTAGAAACCAGAAGATTGTGTTCTAGTCCTGCCTTAGGCACAAAGCCAGCTGGGTGACCTTGGGCCAGTCACTCACTCTCAGCCCTAGGAAGGAGGCAATGCTGTGATGGAATGGAATTATGAAGGCCAGGCTCAGGGAGATAAGCGTGTTCTTAGTTCACCGAAGGAGCGTGGGAAGTTCAAGAGGATGAGGCTGGCACCTCCCTGAAGAATTCACGGTGTTGTGGCTGGCTGGCTGACTTGGGAGCTAGGTTTCAGTCTGGGGAGATTTTCTGTCTAGAGGTTGTAGCTTATAAACACAGTAGAACTGAATTTGCATCGTCTCTTGGAGTTCTTTGGGCTAAATCTGACAAATGCTGAGCCACTTCTGAAAAACATCTTGCCAAGAAAACTGCAGGGACTAGTCCAGGTAGTCGCCAGGAGTCAACACTGACTCAAAGGCACAAAAAAAGGGGGGGTGCATACATGAACATGAACATGCACTGTTATGCTTTAAAAAATGTTGGTCATGCCATGATGCTGAATGTAAAAACAAAGAGATCCTATCTGGAGTTTCAAGTACTAATATGACTGGCATATGAGTTCAAGGGTCTGCACGTACACTTGGTGCATTCAAGTAAATCTTCATCTTCAAAGGCATTCTGAAACCTTCATGTTCAGCAAGACAAAAGAGAATGCATAGAATTCTCTTTTGTCTTGCTGACAAAACATACTCCCCACATACTTGGACCCAGCTCAGAAAGCCAATGCTGCAGCGTCTGGGTTGTTTCTGTTTTTTTTCAGAAGTTCTCTGTATTGGTTCAACTGGCTGGTTGTACACTAGCATTTCTGATACTTTTGATTTTGAATGCATTTGAAAAAGCTAGACTAACAAGGTTGCATTTGCCTTATTGACTTTTTGGCATTCATTACTTTCTCACGTCCCATTTGTGTAGACTTGACAGCATGGTTTAAAATGCAAAGATGCTATGCTGAGGAAAGGTGGTGATGTGTTCGTCTACAGTTCTTCTGTCCCTTTGCTGCTTTGAGTGTAAAAAGAGCCTTTCTAACATTTTTGCTGAGCAAAGGCACATGCTCTTTTTTGTTCTGGGTTGCTGAGTATACTAAGATATGCTCAAGCAGGCAGGAAGGAGGGCTGGTGAGGTTTCCTGGCATAGTATTTACCTGCCATTCTTTTGCTTGTTTTCATTCCAACAAGCAGAAACTGCGCTCTCTTTGGTTTGGGGCAGCCAGACAGTGCCCGTCTCTCTCCTCCTGCCCCCGCCCCCACCCCTCCCAAATAAACCATGCTAAATCTGACTGTTACAAGGCTTAGGCAACCTACATTAACAGTATAAAAAGAAGAAAAATGTGTCCGTGCATGAACTGGCATTCATTGTTCAGTTTGACCTTCAGGAGGTTGCCCTGCCCTGCCTGGTATTGTGTAATTGAAATAAATGTGGAAGATTAGCCTGTTCTTTTTAAAAAAAATACACACCCTCGGCTTCACATTCCCATCAGTTAACACCCCTACATGACAAAGAGAAAATGTCAGAATGTTGGAGAGAGAAAGAGAGAGAGAGATGAATTTTCTGTAAATGGGTGGTTTTCAGCATGGATTGTTTGCTATCGGTTCTTTTGATGAAAAACAAGGGAGCTCATTCTCTGGCTAGAATGTTAGAAAGGACTCGAGTGTTGCTCTTCTGGATACAGAACGCTCCAGGAACACAGCTCACTTGGAACATCCAAAGGAAGCATTCCACAAGGGGCTGTTTTGTTCTAAAGAAGACACATACCTAAAGAAGTCTTACATGCCCTGTAGTTCAGATGCCAAGGATAGGGGTGGCATATTTCATTCTCAGGAACTGAACCCGGTTAAAGATTGTCCTTTATTAAGAACATATCATTCATACCGAGATATAGATATCAACACATAGATCTCTGTATAGGTATAGATATATAGATACATACACACACAAACTGT